GAGAGGGATAGTGGATGTAAAATCGCGAAATAATCCTTTTAGAACATAAATACTTTTCCTCGAGTTTCATTAAAATTGGAATAATATTACAGTTAAGCAATAGAAATAGAATATTACCAAATTGTCTTAAGTATAAAAATATTGACACTTTTTTCACTTGTTTTAACTGGAATTCAACTCCCATAAATTTTAAAAGTTGGAGAGACCGGTTCTAGTTGGCTCAAGGGGTACATCGACTATGTGTTTTGTTTGTGTACTTATTGCGAAAAGAATAATGAAAATGGAATTGTAAAATGCTCCTTTTAATACTCTTTAAATATTTTTTCCGTGAATCTCATTAAAACCGGAATAATATTACAGTTAGAGATTATAAAAAGTTGGTTTAGGAACAGTTATGTACATTTTCAAACAACTTGAAATTTGCTATAAATATTCTCCATCATGAGTGAATGAACTTAAGTGACATGTTATTAATTAGAATAAAATCTCCTACAAGTATATACATAATACATTGTTTTAAGTAATAAAAGCAATTTTCATTTGTAAAATGACTGAAATTCAGCATATGGGTAAAGTTGGCTACTATTTAAGACAGCGCTGTGGAAATATCTTGCAGAAATTCCGGAATTATTAATCAGGATACATATTTGTCTTTGCCGTGAGTTGCGAGTCAAGTAGACATTATCATGCTTGTCTTATTATGCTCATGGATTCTGATTCCATGTGAGTGAATATTTCAATCGATTAAAGTACATCAAATCTACTCTTGAGTTTATAGCGAAAATGTTTACTAAACGATTCAAAATGAAGAATTTATCCTACATGAGTGAAAAATCACTCGAATTTAGGTGATTTTGTGGTCACTGTACTTTGAGAAAGAAATTTCACTCCAAAAAACTTAGAAGGTAATATGTTCATTGTTTTTTCTTCCGCGTGGAACGATGAGTTTTCGGACGATATTCATTGCGAATTGATATATAAACACGCGCTATTATCTTCTCCAAGTTTTTCGGCTTTAGCTGCTCTCCATACATAGTTTGTGCTAACATAATAAACAGAGATCTTTTTAAGCGGAGAAAAGAGAGAAGAAGAGAGGCAAGTCGCTTATATTAGAAAGTTAGTCTTAAAGCATCGAGAGGATAATATCTTAATTAATTCTTTGCAATTTTTTAGAAGAGAATCTTTTGAGAATTTTTACATAAGAATTAAATCGAACCCTTCGATGACAAAGTTGTCCCGCAAGAGCCAAAACCAAAGCCTTGAAAGTTCAATTTGAAAATGCGGTGTTATGAAAATTCATAGTTTCTCGCGACAATCTGATTTAGATCGAAAGTGTGAGCTAATTTTCCTTCTCCTTGCAAAGGTATGTTGTACACGCGAAGAAAATAGTACTAGGTGAGCGTTCAGCTCACCAGTTGATACGAAGAATGAGTCATAGACGCGATACGTCGCGACCCTGAGAATATTAACCTCTCATTATCCGCATTATATTTTATTTCGTAGACGAATACTTCACATGTATCATGCAATTTCCATTAATTAATCCATTATTAATCTCGCAGTTTCCTGTCTCATTAGTTATCATTCGTTATTTATCGAAAATCTAAAATATTCATGAGGTCTCGTCTGTTAAATTTTTTAAATCTGTACAGTTGAGAACGAAACGCAGTTTGAACACTTTTTTTCTAGCAAGATTAGGATTTATCTAATTATACTTAAGGGGATGCTGAAGTCGATGATGAACTCGAACAATGTCGGTGACGCAGAAACGATCGTCACTAACATAATCACGCTATCCTTTTCGTATTTCTTGTATATAAACTTGTGTAAATATATTTTACCTTTCAGTGGAAAACCTAATCATGCATGTGTACAAATATTTCTGCAAACTTTTCCAGTATTCTTAAACTTTTGAATTTAAATGCGAAGGTACAGCAATGTTTTTCAAGATTTTTCTATTTGAAACATTCACACTTTCAATCTGTACGAACTGCGAAACTTTTGAATTAGGCAATTATTATGCTAACTGACAGCTTGAGATTTTATATTAACAATTTTCTCGTTTTTGTCATATTGAGCAATGCTCTTATTTATTTTTGCAAGTACTTTCACTGTGTGAAAGCGTTTGTAATTCTGTACAATTAATACGACGTAAACTTTGCAGAAAGAAGTAGTTCGGTAAAGTTGGTAGAGTTTTCAGTTTTTGCACCCCCTTAAAATAGACTAGCAATATGATAGACTTATATTGTCTATCATATTGCCAGTATACGTGACAGTTAAATTCAAAGTTAAATGCAACGCATTTTCTTGCATTGCAATTGAACGAAATGATCCGTTTCACTTGTTCTCCACGTTTATTTTATTTTCATTCCGAATGTTTTGAAACGTGCGAGAACGTGCGAAAACATATCATTCCGTTTCGATTCCGATACAATGCATAATAAAACAAACCTCGAAACGAAATCTCGATCCGAAACACACCAGTCGAAATCTAGTGATTCCGATCGGATTCTGAAAAATTGCATAATAGTTACAAGTCAACAGCGTAACTATTATATAAAATTCTGAAGAACCATTTGCATGGAAAAAAAGAGATTTGCATTCGGCACAACAACTTAACATAGCAAACTGACTAAATTATAAAAATTCACAGTCTAATAACTTCTCTAAAATTTTGTGATACACGAAGCTCGTAAAGATTAAAAGATTATTATGATATTTGCCATAAGTAACAGCATATATAAATCTCATAGTCGGTAATGTAAACAATTATACATAGTTTTAAAAATTCTATATTTAATAGACGTTTTTTGGATAATATCTTAAAGACATTTAATATAAGACATTTATTATTACGTCCTTTAATTAAATTTGTTAAGTTCATTAACTAAACAATCTTTAATTTCCTTTACTTATATCAATTATCAATTCAACGGTCTCTAATTGGATTTGCTGAAACCAATCGTCAATCGAACGGTTTTCGATTGAATTTATTAAAATCACTTTTAATTGTTAATTGTTGCAATTGTCAATCAAACAGTATTCAATTGAATTGGATCAACCCTGACTGTAAATATGCGTTCTTAGTGTCTCTCTATTGTTATGTGCATTTTTAATGTTGATCCATTAAAATTTCCTCGCCAGCGTTATCACGCACACGCTTCACCGTGACTGCGACTGATCGTGATCGCGGAGTTGTCGCGGAGGCGTGCATCATTATTATTTCTCGAATATCGGCAGAAGAGCACCGTCGCAGTAACCGCGAGCGTGGAGTATGATGCAATCGAGGAAATTAAAGTTATTTATAAAACACGGCCCGCGACGTGACAATAAAACGAGGTCGTCGGTTGGGCGCCGAGGCGAAAGTATCTCCGTTGTTGTGCGGCACCCGAGGCCATTTTGTTGCACCTCGCGCGCGTCAACACAGGTGTTCGAGTGTACAGGTGATGCGTGACACGCCGCAGGCGCGACGCGCCTCCGGCGTCGGGACGCATCGCTGCCGGACGTTGGAACGAGACGCACATTCCGAATTCGCTCACCGGCGCGGTACAGATAACTCCGGCCGCGTCGTGATACGAGCAGGTTCTCGCCGCGGGTATCTCCCGACAGCGAAAAATCGACATCCGCGCGGTCAGTTTGTCCTCGAATTGGCGGCGAGTTTCCTCAGTTCGCGCGAAATCCTGACTTCTCAATCGACATCGCGATGTACCCGCTAAAGAAAATACACGACTCCAAATTCATCGGGGAAAAGTCGTTGATATCGAGGCCGTCAGTTGGACGATCTGAGCATATAGGGTGACACTAAACGCAAAAAAATGACTTATGCCCAATTTCTTCACCTCCGGTTAACTTTATCTGTCGGATAAATGTCAACCGTGATTGGTTAATCTTGCCAACCATAAATATGATTGGTCAATTTCAATAGAATAACTGGCAGATAAAGTTAACCGGAGGTGAAGAAATTGGGCATTAGTAATATCAGCTAAAGCGCGGTAGCTGATTCAAACTTAGTCAAAAGGCTAATCGTTTAGCTGTCACTGCTAAGAATTGGCTATGACAGCTAAAATGCATTCGCTATAAAATACAGATATATTAAGTGACATTAAAAATGCATATTACTTCAAATAGCTGAGAAAATGGCAGTTATTCCTAAATTTCTTATCGTATGCATATATTAAAGAAGTTTGCCGCACAGCTACAATTATTTGCTACAGTAATTTGTTTCTAGCAGCTAATATTTGTCACTGTAGCGTCTAAGTTTAAACATCAAATAAATTTAGCTTTGGTAGTATCGACATTAGCTGTCCCTATTTCAGTGACACATCTTATTTGCCACAGCTATTTTTTAGCTCTGGAAGCTAGTTCTTTTTTTGCGTGTGACAAGTCTTATGTGTACATGTGGAGCGTATCATACTGAATAGCAAAATCTTATACCGTTTTATAAGTAACTCTGTTTTGCAAATAGTAATTAAGGTATTAATTAACACGTTGATTGCCACGAGAGCTGGTTCATTTTGCCGCGTTCCGTTAATGTACATATAAATTATAACCTCAATAGTATGTAACAAATTAATAAGGAGCCGATAAAACGGGCTAATAGACATATCTATCGTGCATCGACCGTACACGCAAAAAAAGAACTTAGCTTCCAGAGCTAAAAAATAGCTGTGGCAGATAAGATATGTGACTGAAATAGGGACAGCTAATGTCGATACTACCGAAGCTAAATTTATTCGCTGTTAAACTTAAGCGAAAAATATTAGCTGCTAGAAATAAATGATTGTAACAAATGATTGTATAATAGAACTCATTCCACTTCATCGCGAGCATTCATTCTCCTCAGTCTCCTTTAATTAATATCTTAATAAACATTGCTTTATTTCCAAAATGATATAAGACTTCCCTGTTCAGTTTGATGTGCTCTGCACACGTCGTATTTAACGCGTCAGGCGTCCTATACACATTTAATACAATACCCGAATCTCTTGTAATGCTTTCAGCGTCACGACAGAGCCTCCTTGAGGCGCATCAGTCGAGCACCGCTAAGGATCGCCAGCAGTGTCGATCGTGGATCGTGAGCGAGTCACGATCGTGTCCTAAATTCGCAATTTGGGACAGAGGAGAAGGCAGACAAGCGGGAGAAAGGTGGAAGAGAGACGAGAAGGAAGAGTTGCGAAAGAGGTGCGAGGGGAGAGCCGCCGAAACCGGTCGGCGATTCCGACGAAGCTGACCGTGTATCGGCCGTGCATCGTCCTCGCTCGGCCAAATGTTCCCGGATGTGACCGTAAACAGGATGACGTTACTGGTAGTAGCTATCGTCAGTCTGTCCGTGCTGAGCCCCGCGCTCGCTGAGAATTTCGATCTTCATGGCGCCAAATGCGGTAGTAAGCGCTGCAGCATCTCGGAGTTCTGCAGCCCTTACGACACGCATTGCAGACCCTGCTCGGATGCCTGCGACGCTGATCACCACAATTTCCAGCCGGACGAATGCGCGAAGGACTGTCAAGGTGAGTCATCGATATAAGAGAAGGAGGGAGGAGAGAGACAGGTAAAGGGAGAGAGGGAGGGATGGACAGGGGAAGAGAGAGAGAGAGAGAAAGAGAGGTCGTTCACATAACATTAAAAAAATAACCTTGCTGTCATAGTGAAAATTATCTAGATACAAGAAATTAGCTAAGATCGATAAATAACTAGTAAACACTGCGATATCGCATATATTTGGTATATTTAATCAATATAAATGACAGAGATCGAATTCCTATTTGAAATATGAAATTTGGCAAAAAAGGTTTCCTGTGGCACCCATTTAGATTAATGTCAATCGCACTTCTTATAAAAATTGACAGCAAAAGAAAAAAAAGGAACAAATGTATGTATAATCTTTACATCCATCTAAATTTGCTGGCAGATATTGCTGCTGTAAATTTAATGCACCGTACAAACAATCTCCTAACAGATATCAAAAGCGGCGATAAATTTTAACTATGCGATTAAATTTTAATTGTGTATTTAGTATTCTACCTGAATCAGTAAAATATATTTTTGAATAAATATAATCGAAATATATTATCGCGTGAAATTTTTCACGCGGTCCCGATTATTGAAATGTGACGCAGGGTTCAAAAATGAGGTTAGTCCATAACTTGCAGGAGAATCGCATCTAGGGTGGATTTTATGAGTTATAGATTTCCCTTATTCTTGCGCCGAGCTCTTCAAACTCGCTAAACGGAGTCTAGAGGAGAATCAGCTATCTCGTTGATTCTTCTCTTAAATCTGAAGTGACACGAAAAATTCACATTGAGAGGAAAAAATGTTAACTTTAAAGTTAAACAGTGAAAATCCATTTAAGAGCATTTATTTAACAATATTTGGAGTATTTGGAATACTAAAATTTTACAGTAATAGAGTGTGGACGGAAATTTAGTTGTTAGACATATAGAAAGGAAAAAAAATTCTTGTCATATGATTGATGATTCATCTGTGCAAATGAAGGGCGAGTTTCCTTTCCATCTTTTCTGTTAAAAATTGTATTAAATTTTAACAGAATTTCATATGTTGTAAATCCATGTTGTTGTGCGTCCATAGTCTGTGTTCATCGCTGCGGTAAAAAATCATGTGACATACATTGCATAATATCAAATTGCCATTACTTGCACTATTGCAAGCGTTGCACTCACTATAATATTCCACTTCAAAATTAAATTTGTCTATTTAAGTATCTATATTTTTTAACTTTATGTGGAACATTAATTTAAAAGTAATATGAAACATATGAAGAAAAATCTCTATACACCGTCTAGATAGCTGACGACCGTTTGCAGAATCTTGCGAAGGTATTTTTACAAGTTTCCCTGCGCGTCTCAAATATATTGACAAATTGACTCTAAAAATATAACGAACTGTGAAATATCCGTTACTACAATTATATTACTAAATACAATATAACTAAATGCTACTAAATAGAATACGATTAAATGCATGTGAGTTTTAAACAATTATTACTTATAACTAAAAGTAATACGTAAAAAGAAAAATGTGGGAGAGAAGAATGTTATAAATTTTTAAAATGTTGTTACCGATAACATTAATATTTGCAAAGTAGAGTAACTGTCGAGTTACTCGAATACGAATGGTTTTTCATTTGTATAGGTTGAATTCTTCACTCTGAATTGTCTAGCGAATATTTTTACTCAAAATTGAAAAGTAAATTCGATGTATTTCATAGGAATAAATTCATTGTAATTGATTCAAACATTCACTCGTATATTTAAGGAAAACAAAAAAGACAAAATGATGTCAAAATATGATCAACTTTTAGTTCACCAAAATAACGTGAAATTGCATAAAATTTGGATGTTTTCTTGACGTTCCCAACAGAGAATAATTGCAAGAACGTTGCATAGACATTACAATGTAACATTATAATATTCCACGTAACATCGCGAAACGTTAATGCAAGGATAAAGCGATTAAAGCGTCTGTCTTTAGAAACATTGCGATGTAAAATTATAGCAATGTTACAGTGGAATATTATATAAAAAGGAAATTTTATCTTACATTTCTCATATCTCGCGATCGATGGGAACCAAAGATTAATTACACACATTCTAAACGTTCGCGCGCGTGTATCCTTCCTCAGTAGTTTCGATTAAGCAACGCGGCCGGTCATCCACCCCCATCTCTTGCTCGCGATAAGCGCTGCTTGACTTTGGCGATCGAACAGCACACGGCAACCTCAATGTTCAGACAATGTTCTTACGACTTATGCTTCTATGGTGTATCCTTATAATTTTCACAATATACACGCACGCAAGAAGAAAATACTACGCAAGAACGACTCTATTTTTATATAATTTTCTTAGTAATAAGTATGTATATAGCCAAGAAAAATATATCACATTTTCTAAAAATTAAAAAGACACAATTAAAAAGAAGTCAACATAAAGGTATTTTTAAATTATCTGAAGTCAAAATTTCAATTAAAAAATTATGTAAATTTCTTTAAATATAACGTCATATTGATATCATTTTGACTTTTTGTTCTTTTTTGGGTAAGATTAGAATTTACTCTAAGTTTGAGTGAAAACATTCACTCTTACGATTCCAAGTGACATTTTCTTTTTATCGTTTCAAATGAATTTTTACTTATTTTGAGTGAAATTTCAAAATATTTAGAAAGTTATATATACTATAAGAAAAGATTATTCTAGTTATAAAATAATTTTATTATGTAATTTTATTATGTAATAAAATTATCTTATTATGTGTGTGTGTAATTATATACTTATATCAAACACTCTTTTTTCTCAATCAATTGTAGATGAAAAAAGTAAGATTGGTGAGGCTAGTATTGATAGTCGAATCTTGTTTAAGAACTTATTTAAGGTCTTATTTGAGGTCATCTTAGATTCATCTTCAGATGACATGTAAATCGTTTCATTGACTACAAAGCATTTGAAAATAAACTTAAGACGATCTTAAATATAAAATTTAATTATGAATACCGCCTTAACAGTCTTACTGGTCCAATTAATTAAAAGTCAGTCTTACTGGCTTTTAATTAATTAGTTTTTATTGACTTTTTTATTCTATATTAACAGTTGGTTATATATCTGAGAGTTTTGATGATTTATTTATTCATTTTTGCTTTTTTTCAGTAATTTAATGTGCCTCTTACATCTCGACTTACAATCTCGCGAATTATCTATTGTTCAGACGCCTTTACGCGGGACCAATCATACGATATGTCGCGATGCACCGGTCTGTCGTTCCGGTTCGTCGTTTTTAATCGTATGGGAACAGTGCGATACCATCGTCCACCTCCATCGAGCGTGGCGACGAGTGAGCGAGCGAACGAACCTGCGCTCTCTTCTCTCAAGTCCGTTGACTTTGCACCTGACTGTCCCTACCGACTTCCCACACGCAAACGCGGTCGATGAGTCACCTAGCTTCTTTTCTTCCTCCTTCTCGTTCGCCCTTTTCCTTCTCCACAGCTTCCTCGGCCCCTCCCTTTCCCGCTTCTTCGACGTCCTTTTTCTCTTCTTTCTCTCTGCTCCCGCTTGGGATTCAGCGTCCATGCCGAGAGGGGAGACATGTCGTGCTCCGACAGGTAGGAGAGAAGCCGCTCCTCTGCTCTTCGAGACGCGTGTAAAGAATGGGAAATTCTTTCTTTCTTCCCGTCATAGCAGATGTCCTTCTGTGATGACGGGCTCCCGAAGTAGGCGCTACGAAATTGTCCGTGTGGAGTTCCGCAGGATCCACATGGGTACCGTGTTCCCTATTGAGATTCCTCGTCACGGTGTCCGGTTACGTTTTGTCGGTAAACTCGGATCGGCCTTGTATGTATAAATTCTACGCTGGGCAACTTGTTGACTCGACGTGCTCGCGAACGTTTTGATTAAAAAAAAAATAACTCTTTTTGATGAAACAAACGAAATAAGATCTGTCTAGAGATGAACCGCTCTTTTCATGTATATAAAGTGACCGACGGATTTAGAACAATGCGCTGTTTCAACTAAAGTCCATGGAATAAAGCTTGTAGGTGAAAATCGCCTTCGATTTTACTTATCTTATATCACCAACATATTGTTGGTCAAATTAGAAAATCTCCTAATTCACCAAATTCCAATTTTTTTCACAAAATTCCAAGATTTTCCAGACGACGCAGAAACTCGAGACAAATCGGATGAAATGAGTATCTCAATTTGATAAAAAATTGTCAGGTTTTCTAATTTGGCCGACGATATTTCTAATTCGCGACGTAAATATTGCGCCACTTTGCAAACCACTTTTATAGCCAAAGCATTGAAGTATATCAATCCATGTGAACTAGTAATTTTATTGCTAGCCGTGTTTAATGACCAGCTATTAGGTTGGGAGGATTTCCCGTTTTCCTTTTAACACCTAAACTTTCTGCGAGAATTTAACAGAAAAATGACAAATTTTTTGCATCAATCTAATATTGCTATATTATCATACGATTTTCGTGATCCATCTGCAATGTGTTAAATGATATTTAAATAAAATATATGTTCAGAGCACACGAAAATTTATTATTTAAATATTACATAACATGTCACACATATATTTCTCAGCTGTGTTAAATGGTCGGGCAAACAGAGAAGAAGACACTACAAAAGAAGGAAAGGGAACAAATATTTTTCAACTGAAGTGTTCTTTTGATTCTACGATCGTTCCGTGTCTTTATAATTCAGTCCTCTCTCGAGTACGATTTTCTTCGCTATTCAGCCGCCCGCGAATCTTATCCGTCATCATCGTTATCGCGGCCGAGGTCTCGCGAATCGATACGCGCGACCTCGTCGTCCCAGGTCTGGGTTTAACAATTTGCCCCCCTCGTCGTCCCGAACGGGGTCATCTGGAGTTTACAGTCACGCCAGAGCACGCGATTACACGTGTTCACGTGCCGACCGCTTTGCAGGTAGGCAGCCGTCGTAGGTCGGAATTGTTTGCACCGTAGGTTGCTATCGCGACCGAGTTCTCCGTCCCTACGCAGGCGCGCAAGGACCTGTGCCTTCTGACAGGTAGATCGTTGACTCGAATAAGAAGAAATGGAGAGCGCCGAAGAGGACGTTGAGAGGTGCACCGATTACAGGCGAATCGATTGCGCGTAAGCCGAATTGATTGTACGCAAGTTTTCTTTTTTTCAAGAAACAGACTCGAAAGAAATAAGTCACCTAGATCGTTATTCAATAGTCGTTATTAATAGTCGTTATTTGAAACTCGTCCTACGTGAAATACTCAAATCCGAATTTAAAGTTTGATGAGAGTTTTTTATTTTAATTATATAATACACGTGACGTTATATTTACAATCACGATTTAGCAGAATAAAAAAAATTGTAAGAAAAATGTAAACAGAGACGTATGATTAAGCATGGCCGATTGTAATTTATACGTTTCATTTTGGTATATATTCCGCATTAATATTTAGAGATTATTCTTTAGCTAGCTCGTTAGATAGAGTCTGTCTCTTTAACGGTAAGTTATACATTGGTACATCAATGTTAAATTAACATCATAAAAGGATTGTTGAACAGAGAGACGGATTGTCTTGACTTGCGGTGTAATTGGTTCGGCTTCCTGAAGCCTTCCGTTGCGTGAACAATAGCGTCGAGTTTCCCTTTAATGCAGCCGGTGCATGATAGCGTAATGGTCACGGTTGGGAAAATCTCACCGGGTTTTATGGCGTCGCTAAACTCATATGCCTATTTTGCGTAACGCTTTCTACATCAACATCTGACAAGCTCCAAGCATTAATGAAACACACGTCACGTCGATGTGAACGGTCTTCAAGCATATGTTGCACGAGAAAAGAAAAGAAAAAGAGAAAGAGAGAGAGAGAGAGAGAGAGAGGGGGAGAGAGAAAGAGAGACCGAGAGAGTGAGAGAGAGAGAGAGAAAAAGAGCTGCGGAAAGTTACGCCGCTCAGCGTGAATTTAGCTCAAACTAATTTACACAGTTGGAAATCTTGCATACAAATATTAAAATTTTCATGTGTTATTCATATTTCATGTGTTTTGACTGTTATTTTAATATAAAATTACCGATATGTTATTATTTTTGTGATATTTTAATGTTATATTAATGTCAACTTAATAACTTAATGTTTTTTACATGTCACTTAGAAATAGAATATTATTTTGTGTTCTTTTATAATAATATAATAATATAATTATAAAATAATTTTATAATAATATAATTATAAAAAAATTATATTTCTTAAAGTCACTTTAATATTAACAAAAATTAAAAAGCGAGTCTGCAAATCATTGTAAACTTTGACATACAGGATAACTAAATTTATTAAGAGAAAATGTTTCTATCGCAAATAAGTTAAGTTGAAATAATTAATATCATATGTGTGTATTAATATAACGTGAAAAATAAGTTATTACGCGTTATAATCTTTATATATATATTCATATTTTATGAACGAAAATGTTCCATTGACATTCCTCGCGAGTTATTTTAACTACTCTCACGTAGTTTTTTTTACTACTTTTTTACTTTCCTTTATGTTATTTTTACAAATTGAGTTTAAAGTCAAAATAACAAACATGAATGTAAGAAAAAATCGGTTAGTCAGGTAATTAACATTTGTAATTTATCGATAAGTAACACACCAGGAATGAGTTATTTTTACATAAAATTTAGAGTGGACTTTCTACGACATGTAAAATATGTTAAAACTAACATTTTATTTTCTATTATATAATACCTAATCGATCATTTCCTTTCTGGTTTCAGTTTACCTACACGATCAACGCTACGTCCTACGCACGGATATAAAACAGTATGATGATCTCAGAGGTGAGTGGGCCCAGGTGTGAACAGAAGATGCGCATTATTTTAGCGCAAGGCACCGCCTCTTCTCTCGCGCGAGCTGGAGATTTCAACGACGTGATTCTCGCATAGACATCACTCGCGCTCGCAATTCTCGCGCGACCGTTGCCGTAATACGTTTGATTTTACTGTCGTAAAAGGCTGCGAATTTTTAATATACTGAGAGAAGAAATATCTAAAAAATAGTAATTATTTTTATACTGAGTTTGAGTATAACGTATTTATTTAAATTTAAATTCTTTTATTTAAATAAAATTAAATAAATTGCTTTCATGAAAAACTAAGGTTTTCTTAAAGTTTTAACAAAATGTATATTTCCTTATCTAAAACATTTCAGATTAATATAAATAAATAAATAAATATATATATATATATAATTATATATATCGTTGAATAAATATTTAATATTTCTTAGACATTTTTTCTCTTAGTACACTGAAGAAAAAGATCGGGTAAAACAAACCATTTCTCTGGGTTGAGCAAATACTGTTGCACTAACTGCAAGTGAGTGAAATTGAATAAAAATTAAGTATATTCAACAATATAATGTAGGAGTTTTAATTAAAAAAATTTAGTCAAAGTAAGAGGTTAATAAAAACTGAAATATAGTTAGATGGACGTTATAAGTGCTCTTTTAACTAACGAAACAGATTTATCTAACTAATGAAAAATGTTGATGTAAATAATATAATATAATTCCATCTTCTGGAAATGGAAGATTAAGTAAATCAGACGATAAGTCTGATATATTGAACTATCTGTGATAATTGGACGTTTTGATCAAGATTTATTCAAGAAGAAATCATTACAGTAGGTTCATCAAGATTGTTGAATAAATTACAATATATAAAGTCCAATATACGACTCGGAACAGTCAAATCAACATCTTAGCTGATAGTTTACTCATACAAGTAAGCGATTACAAAAACATCAAAATTATGTTAAAAGAATTAAGGTAATTAGATCGCTATATACAATCTCGTAGTTGAATTCACTCAACTTAATTCTAGTTGTTTAGATCGATTTTTTTTATATAATATAGTATAAATATTATAAAAAATACTTGATATTATTATGTTAATATTTTTCAATCTCTCTGAAATGTGATACAGGAAGTATACGTAATATGAATAATTTTCTTTAAGTGACACCAGGAAATTCTCAGGAAATTGCTTTGATATTTTAATGCTGTCTCATATCTTCGCTAATTTACACAATCTGTAATTAGAGAGTCGACGTATACGCGACTATTCATTTCGATATACAGAATGACTTCTTTCGCTGATATAAGCGACACCGCAACGGAACGTAACGCGCAATTTAAACAACTTTCTCTTTCGGGGTTTGAGCGAGAATGAGCGTTGGAGATGTCTACGCGTGTTTGAAGTCAACGAGACGTAACGGAGCATTATTCGAAGGCGAATGATATCTCGGAACTTTGTTAATTAAAATACGCTTTCTCCTAGATTCGTCTATTCTCACTTCTGATTTGTTAATATTAACAATCAAATCATATTGAGACTATTTTGATGATATGCAGTTCATAATAATGTTGTTCGTCAGAATTTATATGATTACTGAGAAAAACAAATAGTTAATCTCACTAAAATTATAATCACTTTCAGATTACATTTTCTTATTGTTCTAACAAAAAAATTAGAAGTACAAATATGCATTTAAAATTGTTACCACTTTACTACAGTAACGCCTATTATAAAAATGGTTTCACAGACAATAATTCAGTCATTAAGCAATTGCAGTTACAAATATCACAAATATTTTCTCTCAATGCGTAATTTTTATCTTTAAACAACCAAAAAAATTAACCATATTCCGAACTTTTTATTGCAAAAACTTTTCCAGGTGATACATTAAGTTACTATATAATTTGAAAAATAAAAATGTATATTTTATTGTATCTATTGTGGACTGCAACGTCAATGTATAACTTGATCATTTATTATGTAAGTATAAAAGAATATTAAAAATGTAATGATTTTTTTGTTTGAAAATATCGTACTTAAAACTTTAAGCACGCTTTTCTCGAAACAGTCCAAAAAGCAAACAGGTACATTTGTAAAGATTGCGTCCCTTATGATTGGTTTATATCTAAAACTGACTTATATTTAAAATATAGAATAATGAAATAGAAATACGAAACAAATACAACAAAATTATCAAAATTTACTTTAAACAATACATCATATAAAATATAATCTGAGTGTAACTTTTTAGTAAAAATCTATTGCTGCACTTAATAATTAACTGAATACAATATATTTACTTCATAGATGTAATTAAAAAAATTGCAGAATTTCCATTACTATTGTCTTATATTGTAGTAAATATGAAAACTTATTTAGGATGTTTTTAACATCGGCGTCCATGTCTCGATTTCTCGAAGACTATTGAACCGTTAGATTTAAAATTTCTGTATATTTTTAATACGTGCATATTCGGAACATATCAGATGTCAGATATGTCAGACATGTTAGATTTCACATAAAATTGAAAATTGACCGGGTCACGTCGGTGCAAAGTGAAAATTACGTTTTTCTCACGCCGAAAGAAACAACTTTCATATAACGGAAAAATATTGAATTAAAAAATTTTAAGATATCCGAACATTCTCGATATAGTACATATATTCAAAATATGTAGAAAATATATAGAAAATATATAGAAAATTTGCGTGCCGATGTTAAAAACATGGTTTTGAGAAAAACGTTTAAAATTTTAGGTACGCCATATATTTCCGAACAACTATTATATATTTTATATTTCTTTATATCTATATAATAAATGTGCCAATTTATAAGTCAATACGTTACAAAGTTTTTCTAGAAAAAATCCGAATGTAGCCCATTTTGTGAGGCGTTCGGAGGTAAAAGACCTCTGTTAATCGGAATGTATCGCACCAACCGACCGGTTCTCCTCCATTTATTCCCACCATCTATTCTGTTGTAGACGAAGTGAAAAGGCTACAGACTATGTTCACGGTCACAACGACGTTGAGCTGTCTGTTGTTATGTGCGGTGCTGTACCTGCTGGGAAGACCCTTACTAAAGTGGAAAAAGATTCAAAACACCTTGCGAGTGCTATTCAGGAAGAATTGGGTAAAGGTGAGGCTACCTGCTTGAAAAGCAGGTCCCTTCGAAAATATCTATCATTCGCGTTGACAGATTCCCCTATCGTGCTCTTTTATCTCGAATTTATTGTAGTTCGGATTTGTACACGAAAATAAACTTTAAACATTAAAGTTACATTCCAAACATCCTGTTTGAGGGAAAATTTTATTTGTAAACGAAAATAAACATTAAACATTAAAGTTACATTTCAAACATCATATTTGAGAGAAAATTTTACTGAAATTCCACAGTATATGTAATGTAAACTGTAGATTTTACAGTAAAATTTCCCTTAAGAAAAATGTACAGTATAATTTTCCTCAAGGAAGGAAGAGATTTTTATAAAAAAAGAAAATACTCTAAATACAATATTCTTAAAGTTAGAAAAATTGTCTTTTATTTACAGAACAAGACTTGTTTTTAATAGAAATTTATTCTAGTAAGAAGGCATTCTGCTACAAGTAAACATATTCTTCTTGATTCAAAAAGAGAAAAGTTAGAATTATATTTAATAGCTCTCCGTGATTATATAGTCCACATCATTAGAAAAGGAATACTCTTTCGGTAAGATTTTCGCGATTCTTTTTCTTTTCAAAACTTGGTCAACTTTCATTGACCAACAAAGGCATTCTCGTGTCACAAAATGCCAAAGTCATCGGAATCTTCCCGTGCTAAGGATCATTCTCAACGTCGAAGGTGGTCGCATATGCGAACAGTACTTTCGCGACTGATACCTGAAGCCAATACTCCTGCTCGATTTTTTTATCGGTTTCGGACCGATAAAATACCCATGAGTTACCGCTATTTGAAATGGGCGGTCAATGAAAACTTTCATTGGTCAACTTTCTGTTATTATTTCAGAAGGCAACAAATAAAAATAAAGTTCAAGACGACGTTGAGTCCAACGGGACTAAACAAAATGGTCTCAAGATTAATATGCCGACTATAAGCGCCACAGTGGAAATGGACACGAGCAACGGGAACAGTAACGATACTCCGAACACCACGAGCACCTCTCTCTCGCGGAGGCATCCCAGCGAGGACACCACTCTCGACTACGCCTACGATAATCCGGCGATGACGCCGAGCCCGGAGGCCGCTCAGCTAAGAACTAAACGTGAGAGCTCGTTTTGAGGCATTTGCTTTTGATGGGAATTCGGTTCCGGTAAGAGTACGTATAGGATTGCCCTCGACTTTGCTCGTTAAAGTCTTGGAGAAGATATTTTTAAAAGAGGAAGAGGGAAAATTTGCTTATTATAATATATTATGATGTAATATATTACAATGAATATTACAATAATTTTCAAATCAAGCAAGTAAAGCAAAGTAATACGAGTAATATGAGTAATAGTATATTCCAGATAGCTAAATTCACACAAACATATTTTACGCAATGTCTTCTGTAAATTCTTTTTAACAGATTACTAGCAGAAATATAACAGAATTTGTTACCAGAGTCTGATGACAGATTGACATAGAAACCGAGCAGGATCTGCCGTTCTACTTAAGTATATTTAAGTAGGATATGCCGCAGATCCTGTTTGGTTTCTGCCGTCAATCTGCTGTCAAGCTATGTCTGCAGGTTTTTTCGACGGAACAGGAGTTTAATGCAGGCACGGATGGCTTTGGATCGGCCGGGGTATTCTGATTGAATCTGTTGCCAATCTCTGCCATACTGCTAACATTTTGGTTATTAAGATGGTGGCCAATAAAAGACGATATTGGTGCGCAAAACATTCTGTATTATAATATTTAGAAAATGCATTGAGTGTAATATATTCATAACTAAACGTACATTTAGGTCCTGCAAAAACGATTAAATAAATAAGAAAATACTTTGAAGTCAAAATGAGCTTCATAATATTTAACTCCAAAATATTTTCCTATTTATTTTATCATTGAAAAGAGTCCCACTGCAGGAATGAAACGTTTGATTGTAAATACTCAATGCATTTTAATTGTTATTGTAATAAAGAATTTGTTGCATCAACGTAGCGTCTCTTATTGGACAACGTATATTATTTTGTCTTGCTTGATTGAATATTTGGGAGCCTTTGACGCTAAAATTATCGAATAACATATTTGTCTGTTTGTAAAGACGAAGGACGCGACTTGAGGTTTTGCTAACTTCGCGGAACGAGCTGGAACGGCTTTTTTTCGGTAATTGTTGATTTTGTAAAATGAAAGAAACAAAGTTGTATGTGAAAAGGGGAACGTAGAGGAAAAGATCTTTCGCTAGAGCCTCGTACGGACAGTGTTTCTCGAGCGTAGTTCTGGACAGGAAAATGCGAGAAGGATGTGGCGATGCGTGTGTCTATGAAATATGACGTGGCTCCTCTTTCCTATTCTGCGAATGGGCGCTGAAGTGTTTCGTACGATTTTTCACATTTTTACGAGCGAATTTTTGCGAAGTACCTTATTAACGTGCATCGAAGTAACGCGCGGTCCAATCGAGATCACCATTTTGTGAGATCACCTCGCACAACTTTCACGCGTGTCAAACCGTTTCTGACGGCGGTATTCATAGTCTATTGTTGTTCCCTGAATAACCACAATGGAAAGATAATTATGCTTATTGCTGTAATAATTTGCTTCCCAATAATTCTTGAATCATTAAACGTCGAGCGATGAATCGACTGATTTGTCATTAATGACAATATGTTGAGACTCAATACTGGCACTTAAATAATTTTGTACATATGAATTAATTATATCTTTTTCGTTAATTAATTATACTGTCGATATGTTGGATATGAGGAGTAATGTGCGCCCATTATATTTTACGAGACTGTGAACACCGCTTCAATAATGTACACTCGTTTGCAAAAGGGTTTGACTTATTTTTTTCTATGAAGTTAGAGATGCATCAGATCTGGTCACGATTCCCAGTAAACACCAACTAACGGTTACTTCCCAATATCATGGTAACATTATATTAATATAATAATTTGTCATTCAGCAGTTAAGTACAATATAATATATAACAGCTGTATTGTTGAATGAGAAACTATAACATTGATGTAATAGTACTGTTGGTTGGTATTTACTGAGTTGCGAGTCACTGCTCATGGGCTTGCGTGGTAATCAGTTATGACAGAAGCCGAAATGGCGATATATAACAAATAATTATTACATCGTGTACAAATAAATATTATCGCGTATACTGCTATTCGGCTCCTTATTACATTTTTATCTAATAGATAAGAGTGTAATAAAGTAAATATTCTTACGTTTGTCATGAATCCATCGTTGTAGTTGTGACGTCAAATGTCAGCGTTTCAGTAAAGGATATGCGTTAGTAAAGAAGATTATCCGCTCGTATGTAAAATCACACAGTAGAAGAAGAGTAAAAATGTTAGGAAAAAGTAAGAGATAAAGTAAGAGATTAATATACAAATTAATTTAAATTATTGATATATACAAATTTGATTGAAATACTATATTTGTCTTTATCTCATATGATAAAGTTATCAATTTTTCCTGTTTTATAATGTAATTTACTTTTAATTCTTTTTGCAGATTTTTTTGTCAATTTTTACGTAATTTTTCTTAATTAAATATTTATCCAAATATATATACTTTTCTATGTAATTTTATCATTTTTTAGAAAAAACGATTCAATTACATAGATTTTTTTTATATAATTCTATCAAATAATTCTATCAAATCCTATAGGTATATTGTAAAAGTATCGTGTTCAATTTAATATATTTCACATGCCCCAATTTATCCAGGCTAATTTTTATGTTAATTTAACACAAGATTAATTTGTTAACAAATAACGTAAATAATATGTCGAAAATTTATACAAAAATGTTACATTAAAAAAAAAATTAAATTAAATTAAATTAATTAAAAAAAAATTAAATTTTTGTGTAAATTTTCGACATATTATTACAAATGTAATGTGTTGTGTTATTTTAACATTTAAAAATAGCGAATAAGAATTTAAATGTAGAATATTCAAAATAACGTAACAACATGATGTTAAATTAACTCATATGTATATATGCTATTATATATATATATATATATATATATATATATATATATATATATATATATAT